ATATCTTTAAAAATTATAATTGCAAAGAAGGATATTATGATGATGATATTTAACTTGATTGTTAAAATTGCAGTGTTCGATGAAAACTATGCTTACAATCTGCAACCAATTGTTAAATTTTTTCTATAAATTTTAGAGAAAACTTGATTTTAGTAATAGAATCTCGAGAATCATATTCAAATATTGTAAAACAAATTAATATTACAATAGCATAATTTAACTTTTCAAATAGAAACATAAATAAATTACCTTATAAACAATAGATTACAATGTTGATAGAAATATTATTGAACCATTAATAATAAAAAATATTGCAATTCAATTTCGAAATAATTATATTCCAACATTAAATCTAATTTAGGAGCTGAAGATTTAAATGATTAACTTTTAGTTTATTAAGTAGCAAGACTTTATAAGAGATTTATACTCAATAAATAAATCACAAAATCTAATAATAGATTTATGACCATGGTATATTAAGAAAGATGCTTTCAAAATTCTAAAACTCCACATTTAATAATACTTCAACTGATACTGAAACTAGCTTAATATCTGAATTATAATTAATTAAACTTGTTTCAAAAAAGTTAATTTAAAAATAAACTTAATTTAATAGTGAATAAAATTAGGATGATATCTTTTTAGATGAAAAATTATTTTAAAAAAAGGAGACAGTTGCATAACTTACCTATTTTATTAATCATGATTGATGATATTTTTGTTAAAATCTGATGAGGAGTCTAAAAAATTACCTACTAGGAATTTATCTAGCTAATCGAAAATATTGCTTTTTAAAATTTAATGATTAAATAGAGGTAGATGGTCCAACTTTTACAATTAATATTAAATATTAAATATTAAATTTTTTATTAAGCAAACAAACTAAGGATAATTTTAATAATTAATTTAATATAGATAAGGATCCATTAGATGGGTTAATAGATTTCGTTCAAAAATAATAAATAATTCTCAACTCAAAAAAATCTTGAAGAAAATTACTACATCCTTTTTCTAAGCAGTATTCAAAGAATGATTTATTGATAAATAATGTTTATGCGGAAAAACTAATTGAAAATCCATATATAAACCTTTCCTTTTTAGAAATATGTAGGAATGACATAATAATGTAAGCGTCCCCTATCACTTCTAAAACTACAGAATTATTGATTCCTGAAATAAAAAATTGAACAATATCTTTATTTTTGAATACAGAGTATTAAAGTTTATATTTATCGAAGCAATTATCATATGGTGAGTTATTCCTTTCCATTCCTTATCAAACTGTAAGAATTGTAGAATAAGCCAACAAACTATACCAACTTTAATGAATTAAACCGAATCACAAAAATGACAATTGTTTATTATGCCTTTAAATTTAGAACTTTAAGATTTTTATTGGATGAATCTTATATTAATTTAATTTTTTGTTTCAATAAATTCTTATTAATTATATATTAAAGGGTGAAAAGTTTTCTTGTTAGTTTATGAATCTTTACTTTCTAGAGAATTAAAGAATTTCTAAATTGTAAAAGAGCTTCTTTTGCCATTTTACAAAGGAAACTCTCAAAAAAGTTCAAATATTATTAGCAAGAGTATCAAAATAATATAATGCTCAATTAATTTTATAGCATATAGGTAAGTGAAAAGATGTAAGTGAATGTTGAGATTTAGAAATTAAAAAAACCAGAATAAAAGAGTTTTTTATGGTTCGATATTAAAAATTAAGGTCATCTTAATTGCATTAGCTTTAATAATTATAGTTCTTAAATTTTTCCCCTAAGGCCTATTTGAGAGATAAGAATTGATATTATAATTCAATTATAATATAATTTATAAATGGAGTTTAATAAATAAATTTAATTATGAAAATAAACAAAATAATAATTAAAAAATACAATGATTTTTGTGAACAAGTTAATAAAGACTGTTTATTAGTATCTTCTTATAAACTTAAAATCATTCACTAATCATGAAATAGCTTCAATAGATATGAGTTGTAATTAATGCAAAAGAAATTGAAATTGTGATCTTATTTCTGGATGCAGTGTTATCATTTCAAAAAATATTAACTAAATTTTGTTCTAATCATGTGTTGAAGCTTTATAAGAACAACTTAAAGTAAATGCAGAATAGATGAGTCAAATTTTGCAAGAATACTAATAGATAAAAGCATTCTTTGTATCAAATAATTTAGTAGAATTAGTATCTAATTCAATTTTTATTAAACCAGGAAGAATTCTTAGCTTTGAGTATTTATAAATACATCCAATCATCTAAGATGAATAACTTGCGATAAGTTTAAAAGAAGATGATCACTTATTTATTTAATAAGATTTCCATCTCATTTATTGAATTTTTGTATACCTATACTAGGGTTTCACTCCAACCAATCTTAGATTATTGAAAATTAATGAACTATTAATTAAATTGAATGGTGAAACTTTGCCATTTTAAACTAAAACTAATAAAAATAAGGCTAATCAAGCCCTTTAAATCAATTCTTTTTGTTGAATGCAAAAAGTTGTTATTTTTCTTTTTTTTCTTCGGTAATTGTTTATTTTTTCAATTGCTTTGGAACTTCAAATATTTTAAATGCAATAATTGTTAAAAACTTCAGAAAATATAATACAATTAGAAGTATTCTGAGAATAATAACATTATTTCAAAAGTAAGTTTAATAATAAACTTTAAAGTTAAAAATGAATACTTTTCAAATGGAATTTTTAATGTCTTTCAAGCAATTCTTCATCAGTTTGTATTCAGCGCATTATTATAATTCCTAGATTATAATTTTAATTCTCTTTTTTAAATATTCAATAGTATTAACGCCAAATGCAGTTTATTATTTATTATTGTTATAAGCTTATAATTATTGACTATCACATTCTCTACTAATAAAGATAAATATAAGTGGAAATATTTTTATAAAGA